TAAAAGTCTTAATTGAATACCACAAGACTTATTTATCTCAAAATAGTCTTTTAAAATCTCAATTGAATACACCCCCCTTAAACTCAAGACCAACCATGCCAACTTTGAAGCATTAGTTTTGGTCTCAACGCTGCGGTGGATCTAGGATTAGAAAGTCGGGTGGGCGAAACTTACATACTAAACTTTATGAGTGAATTTCATTAATAAACATAAAAAGATACACATAGTCAGGGGGTACGTAATGAGCCTTACTCTCAAATGTATCTTTATACATAAATAAAAGCTTTAAAATAAAAATAAAAATAAAAACAAAAACCACAAGTAAATGTAATGCAAAACAAAACAATACTATTTAAATAAATAAAAAATTTACATTGTGGGAGCTTAGAAGTCTTAAATTCCCCAATTATGGCTGCATTATCCATATTATTAGTGAACTCATTTTCAATGTGGAGGATCTCGCAATCAGCAAGAAATTCATCAGCTACGGCGCTTCGAAGTAACTATTTTAAGAAAAAAACTCGTTTCGTTGTTGTAGTAGAAACATGAAGAGTCAACCTATTAATCAAAGGGTTTTCTACCAAAGTAATTTTCAATATGAAAAGATGAGTTTTTTAAGCTAATCCACTTTTGCATAGCAAGATGATGCGGTGAATTTAGCTTTCCTACATGATGTTGAAATGCACATTGACTCCCACCAATTCTCTTCCAACTTTGATACCCATGAATAATAAATGTTGGATGTGTCTGATTCCTGTTAAAAAGGAAGCACGGAAAACAAAATATCTTATCCTTAGCAACTGAATACTCAAGCCAAGTGAATTGGCCGAACCACTTTTTATTAAATCGATGAAAGTTCTGCCCTTCTAAGTGGCTTGGATAATCTTCTAACTCGGGTTGACATGGTCCTAAAAGAATATATGCTTTTTGCACATTATCTTGTTCATTGACCGGATATTTGCATATTAGACGACGTAATCCTGAATCACGTTCAAGATAATTGATATTAAAATCTTGATCATCGTCAAATTTTTGAGATTCAACTCTTTCAACTTGAGGCTCGACAATGGGAGAGTCATGAAGATTTTGCTCATCACTAATTGGAGTAGATAAAGAAGTGCCAGAAGGAATTTTACTGGATGATGACCCATCATTCTTTTTCTTATAAAAAGACAACAAATTCTTTGCTCTCTTGGGGTTCCGATTGTGGTCCGACATAATAAAAGATAGCCTATAAATAATCAAACATAACAACAAAAAATCAAACAAATTCTCATAATAACATCTCAATAATACCAAATCAAACATCTCAACAATATCAACAACAAATCAAACATCTCAACAAAATTCCTAAAATCAAAGCCCTAATTAATTTTAACAAAATTCCAAAATTATAATTCATTCATAATTAAACCCTAAAATACTCCATTTTTAATTAAAATTAAAATTAAAGATATAGGGTTTAAGGAATAAGAAGAATACTTGTTGTGGACAAGAGGAGAGGTGAAGCTACTGCCAAAGAGAAGAAGATGTTGCTGCCGTCCAACCCAGGATAAGAGGAGAGTACGAAGCCAATAGAGAGAAGTAGCTGATGCCGCATATAGCCAAGAGGGAGAAGATATGGGACTTAGGGTTTGCTTTTACCTTTTTAAAGTTTGGGCTGGGCTTATAAGATATGTTGGTGTTTTTGGGGAAACCATTTTTTAAGTCGGGACATAGTTCCAGTTTAGTTTCTTTCCTTAACCAGAAATAACACCGTGACTGCAAAGAGTCAACAAGTCAACCCAAAGGCCCGCCTGTTGTTCCTCATGTCAACCTCTATCCAGTATGAACGGAGGAAAATTTGGACGTTGATACAAAACGAGCAACGTTATATCCTATTAACATTGTTCATAATTAACCAAGAGCGAGAAACCAAGTCAACAAGTCAACCCAGCTGGAACCTGTCTTTGGAGAACAGAGAGATCATCATCTTGTTCTTTCATGGCCGAGGGAGAAACAACCTTGGAGTACACGCCGACATGGGTGGTGGCTGCGGTGTGCAGTGTCATAGTGCTCATCTCTCTAGCCGTCTAGAGAGTCCTTTACTACACCGACAAGGCATGCATTCATTTCTCATCTCATTTCATGCATATATATTTATCTAGGAATTGTTTTTTTTGGTGGGTTGAGATGAAGAAGCTAAGTAAATTTTGGTTGCTTGCGCTTGCCTCAGCTTCTTTGAAGCATTTTATCGAGCAGCTTCTTTGAGGCATTTTATCGAGCAGCTTCTTGG